CACCAGCTCAACGATATGTAGGACAAGCTGTTAGGGAATAGGACATTTGATTTATGTCCCCAAATGTGCGTTTTCACTAATTAGAAGGTTTAGAGCAGAGCAGAGAAAAATATGTATTTCAGAGTCCCAGTTTGACTTGCCAGAAACCAGCCCATTACTAACATTCTTATTTTCAACAAAATATAGCATTCTGATTACATACCATTTCAGTTCAACGGCTCCCGGCTTGCCAAGCTCCGGGAGGTGGCCCCGAGGCCACGGCAAAGAGTGAAAGCAACGGTCCTGGGATGGAGACCGACTTGGGACAGACAGTCACTACGGCTGCGTCCGCGGGACAGGTCAGTAGCTTTCACCCAAGGCCACCCAGGCCCACCTCAACAGGCACCAGGTGGCCGCTCAGTTCATACGGGAGGCAAGAGAAGTGGCCAGAGCTGCAGACCACCCAGGAGAGTGGGTGGTCTGATGTCACCCTCCCCTCCAGGCCTCAGTTTCCTCGTCCGTTAAATGAAAAGGCTGAGGTCTGGGCTGACACAGAGTGCTCAGCACCACACTTCTGTAAATGCACTGGGGGCTCTTCAACCGATTTCCTTTATGGACTGAAGAAAACACTTTTATAATTCAAACAGCAGTTAACACATAGGCACGATCTGCCGATCTCTGGATCTGCCTTCACACAACTGAGCGAGTTGCTGGACCTCTCCCAGCCTCAGTGTCCCCATCTATAAAACGGGGGCGGTGACAGCCCCCAGCCCATAGGGCAGCAGGAAGGATTAAAGGAAATCAAACGTCTTTTAAAACCTGCCCAGCACGCTGTAAATGCAAAGCAAAAGCTAGCTATTTTTATCTATTAAGTCTGGATTTTATATATCGGGTGTTCCACAGTAAGATGCATTTATTTAAAAATAAGGCTTTTTCATTAAATGCATACCCCAAATAAAGCAACCCCATAGAGACTGCTCATAATTCAGACTAGCATCAAAACTACCCTAAGTATTAATATAAGCTTCGTACTGGCCAGGCGTGATGGCTCACACCTGTAATCCTAGCACTCTGGGAGGCTGAGGCAGGTAGATCGCTCAAGGGCAGGAGTTGGAAACCAGCCTGAGCAAGAGCAAGACCCCCGTCTCTACTAAAAATAGAAAGAAATTAATTGGCCAACTAAAATATATATATACAAAAAAATTAACCGGGCATGGAGATACATGCCTGTAGTCCCAGCTACTTGGGAGGCTGAGGCAGAAGGATTGCTTGAGCCCAGGAGTTTGAGGTTGCTGTGAGCTAGGCTGATGCCATGGCACTCTAGCCTGGGCAACAGAGTGAGACTCTGTCTCAAAAATTAGGTAAATAAATAAATAAATAAGCTTTGTACAGATCTTTTAAGCTGTCCTTCAAAACCAACTAAAGAGGCTGGGCGTGGTGGCTCACACCTGTAATCCTAGCACTCTGGGAGGCCGAGGCGGGTGGATTGCTCAAGATCAGGAGTTCAAAACCAGCCTGAGCAAGAGCGAGACCCCGTCTCCACTAAAAATAGAAAGAAATTAATTGACCAACTAAAAATATATACACAAAAAATTAGCCGGGCATGGTGGCGCATGCCTGTAGTCCCAGCTACTCAGGAGGCTGAGGCAGGAGGATCGCTTGAGCCCAGGAGTTTGAGGTTGCTGTGAGCTAGGCTGATGCCACGGCACTCACTCTAGCTTGGGCAACAAAGCAAGAGTCTGTCTCAAAAAAGAAAAAAAAAACAACTAAAGAGGTACTTCTAAGGTACCATGTGCATATGTGTGCACCTGTGTATGGCTCACGGCTCCCCCAAACACCCCACCCCACCCCACCCATCTCAACCAAAGAAGCGAAAGGCAGAGCAGCCAAAGGCCCTCGCCCCCTCTGGACACTGGTGACGCCCCCGGGCTCGACCTGGCCCTCCCACCCACCCTGCATCTGCGCAGCGTCCTGGGGATTGGGTTGCCCTCTGGGTGGGGACCAGCGTTTGATGCAAGAAAGACAGAAAAGGGTCAGCTCAACTCCAGGTAACAAAGACAGCCGCAAGCCCCAGGGTCCACAAACACAAAGCAGGTTGTGAGCGTGCAGTACGAAGCCACACAGCAAACTGGAGGATCCAGGAACAGAGACACAGATGGTGGTGTCCCTAAGACATGACCCCGCAAACTGCCGCCCGGGGGAAGGAGCCTGCCAAACCCCAACAGTCAGCCGGAGTCTCCCGGCTGGCACAGCCTTGCCATTTCCAGCGAGGTGGGAAGAGGTGGGCCCGCCCAGCCCCTCCCCCACGCCCACTGGCGAGGGAAGCGGCCGTTTCCCCTGTGTGGTTACAAAGGTCTCATTGTTCTTCCCCACAGAGAGGAAACTGGAGAACTGAGCTCAGAGTGCATTTTAGAATTGGCAGAAAAGAACATCTGGGGAAGGAAACACATTTCAGAAACAAACATACCTTTGTACCAGCTTTTATTTTCTTTAAGTACTGAAAAAAAAAAATAATACTAATAAAGACATGCCAAATTTACCATCACTCCACAAAATCTCTTTATTGAGCAAAACGTGGACGCTCTGCTTCCAAACGCCCTACCGTTCCTGGGAAACAGCGGCAAGGCGGTGCCAGGCCTGAAAGCTGCCATCGGGGGCCGGCCACACAAAGGACGCCACCTTGGGCTCCAGTGACGCTTCTGTCCCACGCCAGCGAACTGGACAGATGAAAGCAATCAGATAAAAGGAAAAAACCCTCAAACTCTCGCGGGGACCGCACGGCTGTGTTTAAGCCCTTGCCGCCTCCTGGTCCCCGAAGCTTCTCGAGGTGCCCACGGTGCTCTCAGAGGAGCCGGCGTTTCCTGGTGCTCCCTGTTCACGTGGTTTGAGCGACGCTGACAAAGCCGGGCGCCGAGGACCAGCTCTGATCATCCTGGAGCCACACTAAGCCTCGGGCCTCGAGGTGGCGGGATGCGGACGGGCCCCGGGTCATGGCTCCTCGGATGCCAGCCGAGCTCTTCCACCGAGCACGGGTCGAGGGCTCGCAGGGCCCGGGGCCTGTGCAGGCAGGTTCATGAGGACGAACCCGAACCCCCCACGGAGAACACCTGGATGGAAGCTCCTGTCCCTCCTTTTTTTTTTTTTGAGACAGAGTCTCACTTTGTTGCCAGGCTAGAGTGAGTGCTGTGGCGTCAGCCTAGCTCACAGCAACCTCAGACTCCTGGGCTCAAGCGATCCTTCTGCCTCAGCCTCCCGAGTAGCTGGGACTACAGGCATGCGCCACCATGCCCGGCTAATTTTGTTCTATATATATTTGTTGGCCAATTAATTTCTTTCTACTTATAGTAGAGACGGGGGTCTCACTCTTGCTCAGGCTGGTTTTAAATTCCTGACCTTGAGCAATCCGCCCGCCTCGGCCTCCCAGAGTGCTAGGATTACAGGCGTGAGCCACCGCGCCCGGCCAGCTCCTGTCCTTTCTTAAGGTGCCTGGCCCAGTCTCACGGGTCCCTTGTACACCACACCTGACCACACCTGGGGTCACGCTGTGTTCGAGCCTGCTCCTTGCGCCTGCCACCACTTAGTCCTCACGGGAGGTGGAGCCACTGTCCCCAATGTACAGATGAAGAGACTGGGGCACAGCACGAGAGGACCCGTGACCCAAGCATAGTCGCTCTTGGCTAATCGGTGATGAGAGGAGATCAAATGCTCAGGTTCTCTCCACGGAACTTAAAATTCATTCATTTTGCCCAACGGAGGAAGTGAAAGACCCCAGGTCTCTCTGCAAAAGTGTCAGAGGCAGGAGCAGCATCAGAGTGGGCAGAGCTGCCCCCCACGGTGCTGAGTGACCCTACCCCCACCCAGAAGGAAGCTTGGACCCTCCCAGCCTCTGGTCCCCTAACCACACAGCCAGGTCCTGTGTCCCAGGACAGCCCCTCTGTCCTCAGGAAGATGAGGAAGTGGCAAAGAGAAGCACGCTGCAGCGGCTCCTCCCCGGCACGGCTCTCACCTGCACAGGACCAGCACTCGCCGAGGGTCAGAGCATGCCGTCTCTCCGCATCTGGCTGTCTGTCCTGTTCCCTGCCGGGCACAGAGTCAGCAGACACTGCTACAGTCATAAAGAGCTCCCAGGCTAGAGAGCAAAGGAAGTCAGGGAAGGCCAGAGCTCACCCAGACCAAGGAGGAGGCCGCTGGTCCCACCTGGCCAGTCCCACGGGGCTGACGGCCAGAGGGCCAGCAGCTCTCATCCCGCAGGCAGCGGGGAGCCACAGCAGGCCTCGGAAGAGACGTGGCGACCTCCACCCTCCTCTTTAGAGACTCAGCCCAGCACACAGGCTGGAGGGCAGCAGCTCTCACTGATCACGGAGTTCTCACCGGGCGGGCCCAGGGCCGGTCTGTGGTCCAGGGCAAAGGCGCCGACCATCCATGACCCAGGGCAAGGGAGCCAGGCCAGGAGGGACGTCTGCCAGAGGGCGAAGAGCCGGTGCCCAGGGTCCCTCTCCACCTTCGGCAGTGACGCTGACGCTGCTCGGGGAGGACAGCGCCAATGCAGGGGACTAGAAAGGGCTGCAGGCCAGACGGGGACGGGGAGCCCGCCGTTAGCAGGCCGCGAGAAGAAAGGCAACAGAAGAGAGGGCAGGGTCCCCTCGCTGCTTCCTCTGAGCGGGGACAAATCACCCTGGCAACACCTGCGAATCGATGGCCAGGGGCCAAGACACAGCCGGGTCGCACCTGTGCTGCAGTGGACGCCCCAGGAGGGGTGACACCCTCAGACACCTGCACCTGATACCCCAGGGCCCCCAGCCCACCCCACCAGGGCTCCAGCTACAGAATAAACGCCGATTCCAAGGCCGACTCTGCACGGACAGCGCAGGCTCCACGCGGCGGGCAGTTCGACTTGACTTTCTACCTTCTAACCCAGCTACTGGGCGGGAGCCGCCCGCAGGGCCCGCACCGCACAGAATAACAATTATGACGCAATACCAATCCTAACAGCTCACAATTACTGAGCGCCCACAGGGAGCCAGGCCCCTGCTAAGCCCTTCTCGACAGGGCCTCTTTGCATCCTCAGGACAGGCCTGTGGGGCGAAACGATGATCCTCCAATACCGGTGAGGAAACTGAGGCTCAGCACAATTAACACCTGTCCAAGACTGCCACGCTGAGTGGAGTAGAAACTCAAGCCCAGCAGGGACAGGTGGGAGGGTGTGTCGCTTCCGGAAGCCAGGCAGGTGGGCAGCCTCCAGGACCGCTGACCCTGCGGTTCACTGCCACACACCCTCCCCCCGCCCCCCCCCCCCCCCCCCCCCGCTGTTCACAGCAAATGGGGCGGAAACTGGGGAAGGAGGCTGGGGGCACAGCAGCCTCTGCTTGGAGGGCAGCACCTGGCAGTGGCTGCTAGACAGAAGCTCAGCCCGAGCCACCTGTGCCCGGTGGGGTGGCCTTCCAGAGTGCCTGCTGGTGACCGCACCAGCCTTAGGCACTGAGGGCAGGCAAGAACAGAACAAGGCCCACCTGTCCTCGTCACACCGACAGACAGCTGGAGGGGCACACTTGAACTGAAAGCGTCCCTCTTGCTCCAGGACTGCACAGAGCACAGGCTGGAACGTGACTGATCCTAATTTGGCCTCTCCACCTGCTTCTACATCCTACTTTGCTGCTACAAGCCAGTAAAGCTGGGACATCCTGAACCTCTCTGTTTCCCCGTCTAAAACACACCCAAACCCTTATGGCGGGAAGGTCGGCTCACTGGTTAGGCACCTGCAGATCCTTGGTCAGGCAGTTTCCCAGCAAGAACCCTGGGGCATGGGTGACCACTCCGGGGTGGGAGGCGGTGGGTGTGGTAGGGTCCCACTCCCAGCCAGAGCCCATCCTAGTGCCATCGGAGCACCCCAAGGCCTCGGTACATTAAGAGGAAGCTACGGGCAGGTCTGTGGTCCAGGACTGGGCCACGCTGGGCACAGGAGCCCAACAGGAGAAATGCTCACCTGGGTAGTCCTGAGCAGGCTCTCTGGACCCTCAGAGATCAAGAGGCCACTGGGGCAGTCAGAGCCACCTGGAGCCTGGAAGAGGTCCCACGGCACCCTCCAAACCAATTACTCCCAACCTGAGGCCCCACAGCCCCAGGGGCCACGAAGGTGTCCTGGGTCCGAACACCGTGCAAAGCCACGTGGAGACCCCCGTGCGGGGCTGCAGGAAACCCCGCCAACCTCTGCTTCTGCCTGGACCAGCTCTGCACAGCCGGCACGCACGTCTGGGACCAATAAGCAGAAGAGATTATTACTTAATAAACGTGGTTTCCTTGAGAGGATAACATCTTTCAAAGCGTACAGAAAAATTTTTTAAAAAATTAAAATTGGTAGCCGAAAGGATGAAAGCTGCTGTCTGTTCTGCTCTTTCATCCTGAGCAAGCCCCGTGCATCTCGAACCGCGCGCTGCCCCAGTGCCTCCTGCAGAGGGGCGGGGGCAGGGGGGCTGACGGCGAACACAAGGACCTGAGCCAGCTCTGCTCCTGGCGTCGGGGGGAACACAGGCCAGGCAGCCTGGGGGCCGCCCGGGCAGAGACCACCCGGGTCAGCAGATGGGGTCACGTCAGGCCCACCCTGGCTCTGAGCCTCCCCTGTGTCCGCAGCCCTCCCTATCCCAGCCCACCAAGGCCCAGGGGCCCAGCGCAGGCGACATGCTGTTCTCAGACCATTCCCAGAGGCGACGGCCCACTGTTCTGGCTGTAGCCAGCCTGTCACCTGCTCTGCAGGAAGAGGCAATGCCCCGCCCAGGTCCCCTGCTCCAGGAGCCACTCCACGGCAGGAGCAGGGATGCGGCACCTCGGCCCTCCTGGCTGGGAGAGCTCCGTGGCGGCTCCGACATGGCAGATGTGGGCAGTGGCAGGGGCCCCACGCGGCCGGTCAGCAGTCCTCCGTTTCTCTGCACCCTCAGAGCGGCAGCCAAGAGCGAGGTAAGGACCGCGGGCAGCAGCAGCCACAGCAGCAGCACGAGTGTCCCTAGGGAGTGGGCAGCGGCAGGGCGGCCGAGCTCCTGCCACTCGGCACGGCCCCCAGGATCACGGCACTGCAGCAAACGTGGCCACCGGGGCGGTGACCAGGCGGCAAGCCCAGGGACTCTCGAGGGCGCAACCTCGAAGGGGCAACACCCTTTGTGTTCAGATTCCTGAAGGCACGTGAAAAGTGCCGTTCACTCAGCCACCTACTCTGTAGCTCTAACCCAAAACCACCGAGATTTCTTTTTAGCATAAAAATTCAATGTTCCGTTATTTCTGTTTTGCATGATTAAAAATGTCCATGAAAAGTTTTTTGAAAAATGGTAAAAAAGCCTAGTGATGGATACAGGTGCCCAAGCCCTGCCGTGACAGCTCACGGAATCTGGGCTGCAAAGGTCAGCAGGTGTCACGTGGACATGGGACGGACTTCGTGGTCAAGTCCATCCAGGGTGCACTGGGCTTCCCGAAGCAAAATAGCTTTGTTTATAGCCAGCCCTCCCAGAGTCCAGCCTTGGAAACAGGGGCTCTTACTGCTGGGTAGGGTTAGGGGGCCCATACCTGGCCCCAGAAACTTACTGTCTAGTAGCGGGACAGGTGTTCTACAACCTGGGACACGGCCAGGCTGGATGTGGGGCTGGCGGGGGAGTGCAGTCACAGTAGAGGGGTGGGTGGGGCCCGCTTCCTGGACAGACATGGCCTGTCCCCGAGACAGTTACTGAGCATCTCCCGGTCACCAGCCAGAGGCAAAAGGCAAGGATGAACACGGTCGTGCCCTCAAGGCCCTCCCAAGCGAGGCGGACCACAGAAGGTTCCAGACTCTGAGGAGGAGAGGCTGGGGCAGGCCACCAGCACAGCACACTGCGCAGAAAAATTCCAACTTTGCAGGTTGGAGAACCCACACAGTTTTCTGAGAAAGGAAGGGACACGATGAAAACTATTTTAGAAAAATTAGTCTGCCAGAGTATTAGATAAATGGGCAAAGAGAAAGTTCTAGAAAGCTAATGCCATCCACTGCGAATCTAGTTTTTCACCGAATGAGCACTGCAGGGCTACAGGTGAAGCCCCGGGGCCAAGACGGAGCCGGGAGGGAACTGGCGTGGAGGCGGACGCCACGACTCCGGCTTGAGTGAGGAGGAGGCCAGGACGGTGCGGCCACACCCCGGTTCTCCACAGTCCGGCCTCCTTCTGGGAACCAAGCTCGCGCTGGGGAGAAATGGCCTTTGCCCACAGAAGCAAGCTGAGAACACGTCTTGCTCGAAAACCACCTTGCAGGAGTGAGGACACTGAGCTTCTGCTCCCATCCCAAAGCCGGCCTGCTCCTTCCTGGGGTGGAACCCAGGGTGGCAGCTGCCCGGGAGTGGACGCAGTCTGGAAGGTACCCAGGCACCGGGCTGACGTGTTCCGGCCGGGGCCACGCGCTCGGGCAGCTATTAACGCCCCATTGAGCAATTTCCTGAGAGTTCTGCCAGGCAGGTACCGCCTCCCCATCTGGGCTAATAGAGGGGTACAGCCCAGGGAAGAAATTAAAGGTGCTCAAATTTTGTGCTGGAATGAACTAGGGGAGGGGAGCAATAATTTACTCAGTAATTATATCTGCCTCTGGGCTAATGCTGAAATTAGTTTGCAGTCAAGTTTGCTTCCCGACAGACACTGGGGTGAGGGAGGCAGCAGGGGCGTCTCAGGCAAGCGGGTGCACACGGCCCCTCTCTAAGGCACTCCGCAGACGTCAACAAAACCCACAAATGTCAAGGCCTCGCCATCGCCCGCGGCAGATGAATTGATTTCCACAGCCAAAGGCCGGCTAGCTCGCCAGAGACCACTTAAAGCCCAGGCCTCCGACACCTGTTGGAGGTCACCGCTTACTGTCCCCAGATCCAGAGATCAAAGGATGGAACCTGATAGGCTGGCTCTGAAGCTTATCACAAAAGAGTGAATGTGCAAGAGGAGCCAACCGGCTTTTTGAAAGGGACAATGAGGAGGGAATTTGCCCAATTGATCTCAAAATATACTCTGATGCTACAGAGAATAAAACAGCAGAGTACTGGCACAGAAAGATACCCACAGGCCAAGGGGGCATGGAAGGATCCGGAATCAGGAGCCAGACATCTGTGGGCGCCACACATAAAAGAATGGCATTTTAAATGAACGACACAGGATGACCAGCAAGGTGCTGGGACACTCCCTACCCACTGGCCAGGTCCCTACCTCGTATCGTATACCCAAAAAAAAATCAGATTAAATAATGTCTGAATGTAAAATGCAAAACAGTAACAGCCCCAGAAGAACTCAAAGGAGAACATATTTATAATCTGGGGGTAAAGGTACAAGGCATGAAATCCAGAAGCCACAGGGAAAAGACTAGACGTTTTGGTTACATAACATTTTTAATGTCTTTATGATAACAGACTGCCAGAAACAAGGATGAAAGACTCGCTACAGACCAGAAGGGAAATCTGAAACAGATATAACAAAGAATTAATGTCCGAACCAAACACAGACCTCCTACAAATCACTAAGAAAAAGGATAAACAACTCAACAGAAAAATGGGCCAAAGCTAAGAGTAGGCAATTTGCAGAAAATAAATACAAATGGCAGGAAATTTTAAACAAAACACTGTTGGCCAGGTGCACACCTGTAATCCTAGCATCCTGGGAGGCCGGGGCATGAGAACTATTTGAGCTCTGGAGTTTGAAACCAGCCTGAGCAAGAGCGAGACCCCGTCTCTACTAAAATAGAAAAATGAGGCAGGCTAGGTGGTGCACACCTGTAGTTCCAGCTACTTAGGAGGCTGAGGCAGGAGGATCACCTGAGCCCAGGGGTTCAAGGCTACAGTGAGCTATGATCTCAATATTGCACTCTAGCCTGGGTAACGGAGCCAGACCCTGTTTCCAAAAAAAAAAAATTTAAGATAGAATTACCAGCAATTCCATTTCTAGGTATATACCCAAAAGAAATGAAAGCAGAGTCTCAAACTGATAATTGTACACCAATGTGTATTACAGAACTTTTCTATTTTTTTCCAGCCCCTTTAAAACATTTTTTTACTGCCTTTTTTTACATTTTGCATTACAGCATTATTCACAATAGCCAAAGGTAGAAACAACCCAAGTATCCATGCACAGATGAATAAATAAACAAAATGTGGTAGACCCATACAATGGAATATTATTCAGCTATAAAAAGGAAATTCTGACACATGCTACAACATGGATGAAATTCAAAAATATTATGATAAGTGAAATAAGCCAGATATCGAAGGACAAATATTGTATGATTCCACAAATATGAAGTACCTGTAACAGGCAAATACAGACAGAAAGCGGAATAGAGGCTCCAGGAGCTAGGGGAGTGGGTAGCGGGGGAGTGGCTGCTTAATGGGGACAGAGTTTGCTTGGAGTAACGGAAAAATTTTGGAAATAGATGGTGGTGATGGTTGCACAACATTGTGAATGTATTAATGCCACTGAATTGTGTATTTAAAAGTGGTCACAATGGCAAATTTCATGTTATATATATTTCATAGCAATTAAAAAAAAAGAAAAGGAAGTTTAAAATAACCAAACAGAGAAGGGGAAAGTAGAGCCCAGGAAAGCAGTTTTTAAGACAGCCCTTCTCTAGGAAGCCCAAAAACCACGCAGCGGTGCCCCCTTAGGAATCCCACCTGCCAGGCACCTGCAGGAAACGCCAGGGCCAAGACCTGCTGTGGGCAGGACTGGTCATGGGGACAGTCCCAGGCCTCGGCAGTAGGGACGATTCCCCGGTGACAGCACCAGGCAGACCCCACATGGCCAGACACCCAGAAGGCAAGTGTCAGAACCAGGAGCAGCAGGGCCGGGCCAGGCAGGGCACAAAAGAGGCACCTCCTCTGGGAGCACCCCACACAGTCCAGGGGTCCAGAGTTCTGAGGGTCGTGAAGGAAGGAAAACGTAAAGCCTCACGCTGGAAAAGGCCTCAGAGATTAGCGTCAGCTGGTTCCATTTTACAAGTAAGGAAACTGAGGCACACAGAAAGGGAGCCCTCCTCGAGCTCCCACAGGGAGGCAGTGATGGGGACTGAGAGCCCTGCAGGGTCCTTCTCGATGGCCTTGGACCAAGGTTGCACATGCCACCCTCACCAGGCTCCCTCCTGGGACACCAGATTCTCGCAGGGGCACCTGAGACCCCATAAAGGCTAAAAACCACTCTCCTCCCTGAGCAAATCCTCACTTCAGTTCAACCACAAGAAAAACTGCGTTAAGGCAAACTGAAAGCAGATGCTTAAACTGTATAATACATTAAATACGCGATAAAGCAAGTAAGAAAATACCCAGAAAGGG